CTTCTATATAGAGGACTTCCAAATATAGAGCTACAACATCTCCCATGAATTCCAGTATTGAATTTCCATGGTTCCATTGGCTATGTCTACCTAGCTGTTCATTCAAATGCTCGTAACTCAACACTAATTATCTTTCCCTCCAAACCTGTACCTCCTCCTAACTTCCTTGTTTCTGAATATGGAATCATCATTTAACTTGCCCCTCTCCCCATCCAGGGTAAAAATCTCACAAATCATCTCTGGCTGTTCCTTCTCCCTCACGTCCTCATTCAATCATTTGCCAAGTCCTTGACTCCTGCTATAGCCTCTTAATTAATCTCCCTGCCTCTTACTTATCCCTGCTTTAATCCATCTCTCACACAGTTGCCAAAATAATCTTTATAGGTCTGACCTTTAGATTCTCCCTCTCAAACCACAAACTCAGTTACTTATTCAAAACCCTACACAAGCTGGCTGGTAAATTAAATCATTTGAACCATATTTATGTCACTACTCTCCATACTCCCTACTTCCTGGACACGCTAAACTATCAGTTGTTCCCTGACCTTATCTTGCCCACTTATGGCTCCTATTATATTTAAAAAATAGCATAAAAAAGAGCATAGCTCACAAAGTTTAATGTCTGGGTCTGATAAAAAAAGCTTGACTGTTATTTCCAGCTAGGGCATGAAGAGGCACAGATTAGTCCACAGATAAGTCTCTGTGAACCACAGCATCCTAGAACCACAGCTATAGATTTGGGAGGGACTCAAGGGGTCCAACTCTGTCATTTTATAAAGGAGGAAATTGAGGCCTAGGGAAGTTAAGTTCATACCGGTGGTAAGCATCAGAAACAATATTTGAACTCAGATCCTGGCTCCAAAACTAGGGTTCTTTCCATTACAACATGCTTTGTTATAATGGACTCTGATTAGCAGTAATTTTTGTGAGTATATAAAGCAGACAATGAAGAGCACTCTGGGTAAATTATCAGTTACTTACAGTTGTCCTCCAAAGCAGGGAAGGACAGCTTGTCTTTTTCAAGGAGAGAACGGAGCCTTGATTATGTGTTATTAGCCTTAATAATTTGTCATTAGCCTCAGAAAGGGGCAGGAACAGGGAGGAATATGTTGTTTATCTGAAGCATGCCGAATAGGGCCCGGGGAAGAAGAGAACTGTAACAAGACTGCTCAATTTTTCTGAAACATAAAGACAAGGAGATGGCCCTTTTATCTATGCCTCCTTATTCCTTCCATATCTTATATCCTTCAAGTTCTAGGTCTTCTACCACATCCTCCAGAAAACAGTTTCAGATACCAACCTCCTAGAATGACTGTTATTTTTTTAATTGGACCTCTGCTACTGTATGTACCTATCTTAACAGAACATCTACCTAGGACAGGCACTTCAAATGGACAGTGAGTGGGCCCAGAACTGAATAAGAAGAAATGAGTGAACTGGAAGGCATTCAATAACCCCAACCTGCTCCCTGACCCAAAAGCCCATCTTTCTCATTCTGTCAATAAATATTTACTAATGTTTGACTATTCCTTCTCCGTCACAGTCCTCATTCAATCATTTGCTAAGTCCTTGACTCAGAAGTCGTCAATAGCCACCTAATTAATTTCCCTGCCTCTAAGTATACTTCTCGCTGCTCTAATCCATCCCTTCACACAGTTGCCAAAATAATCTTTATGGGTCCGATCCATGGATTCTCCTCCTCAAAATCCAAATTCAATCTCTAATTCACTGTATTAAACACTGGAGATACAAACAAACATAAGACAGTCCCTGCCCTTAGGAGCTTACCATCTAATAGGATAGACAACATATAAGCTATATAAAGGGTGAACTGGAAATAGTCAACAGAAGGAAAGCATTAGAAGTAAGGTGGATTTTAGCTGCAACTTGAAGGAAGTCAAAAACAGGAGACAGAGATGAGGAAGAGCCCATTCCAGGGAGGGAAAACAGCCAGTGAAAATGCCCAAAGTTGAGAGATGGGGTGGGAGTGGGGTGGGGAAAGGCAGAGTGTACAAGGTACAGGAAGACCAGAAAGGCCGGGGGTGGGAGGAGGTTGACCAGGATATGAAGAACTTTGAATGTCCAAAAAAGGATTCTGTATTTGTCCCCAGGGGTAATAGGGAGCCAATGGACTTTATTAGTGTGGTTTGGAGGAAGGGTAACATGATCAGACCAGCTCTTTAGGAAGATCACTTTGATAGCTGAGTGGAGGGTAGACAGGAGTGGGGAGATTTTTGGTAGGGAGACCAACCAGCAGGCTATTGCAATAATCTGGGCATAAGGTGGGCAGCTAGGTGGCACAGTGGATAGAGAGCTGGACCTGGAGTCAGGAAGACCTGAGTTCAAATCTGGCCTCAGACACTTAATAGCTGGGTGATGCTGGGCAAGTCACTTCACCCTGTTGGCTTCAGTTTCCTAACTGTAAAATGAGCTGGAGAAGGAAATGGCAAAACACTCCAGTATCTTTGCCAAGAAAACCCAAAATGGGGTGAATGCAGAGTAGGACACAACTGAAATGATTCAGCAACAACAAAGGGTACAAGGTGATGAGGGCCTACACAAGGATGGAGTCAGTGTCAGAGGAAAGAAGAGTGCATAAAAGAGAGATGGGACAACGTAAAATTGCTAGGGCTTGGTTGCAGATTGAATACGTAGGGGAGGGGTGGTGAGAGAATGAGGAGTGGAGAATTATATCTAGGTTCCTGGCCTGGGTGACTGGGAGAATGGCAGTACCCTCAAAGTTAGGAAGCGGAGACAGTTTGGGGAGAAAGATAAGAGGTTCTGTTTTGCACATGCTGAGTTAAGATGTCTACAGGGCAGCCCATTTGAGATACCCGATAGGCAGCTAGAGACTGGAGGTCAGCAGAGAGGTTAGCGCTAGATAAGTAGATCTGAAAAACATCATCACAGAGATGGTAAGTGAATCTACGGGAGCTGATGAGATCACCCAAGTGCAATAGCATTGAGGAAGAATAGAAGAGAGTCCAGGACAGAGCTGAGAGATGCCTGTAGAAACCAGTATTCTTATAACGATACTCTGTAGCTGTATGTTCATGAAATAAATATCACAGCCTCCATAGGGACAAAACTGTGGGTGACTGAAAGAACAACAGACAGATGCTCATAGGCTTCAGCATTTGGGACTCCGTCTGCTGTAAGATATCGCCAGTGATGACCTGCACACAGTAGGGATCTTCTAGGATCATGCTTTGCATATCTATACAAATATGTGTGTCTGTTATAGACACACATATGTATGTTAGGGTCTCCTTTCATGCCTCATTTTCCTTGACCTTTTCCTAGCATTTGACACTGCTGAATACATACTCCTTCTTCAATCTTTTTTTCTTTTTTTTTTTTCTTTTTAGGCAACTGGGGTTAAGTGACTTGCCCAGGGTCACACAGTTAGCAATTGTCAAGTGTTTGGTCTGGGGCCATATTTGAACTCAGGTCCCCCTGACTTCAGGGCTGGTGCTCTATTGCCACCTAGCTGCCCCCAATCTCTTTTTTTCTTGGTTTCTCTGCACTGAGAGTGCAAATGAGAACACAGATCCACAGGGAAAGTAAACACCCAACTAAAGCCTTGAAGCAATCTAGAAGCTACAAAAGTAAATGTTTTCCTTACTATTAAACATTAAGCAAAGCATCTGAGTGTGAAATGTCATGGTTCTCTCATCTCATTATAATCTTAGATTATCCATTCCCACAGGGCACTGGTTGCCTAACTCACTTCTTAATTTTTAAAAATATTTCACATTTCAATTTATATTTTTGGTTTTTATATCACTTTGATTTCTGAAACTACTCCCTACACAGCCAGTCACTGTAAAATGAAAAAAGAGGAAAAAAAGCAGTTCAGCAAAAACTGACCAGCTTATCAACCGAGTCTGACAATACATGCAATGTTCCACATCCCATACCCTAATCTCTGCAAAGAGGACTAGCTCACTTGAAAAAAATAATAGTATAGCAAGGGAAAATATGGCTTAATCAGAGCTTTTGACGTGGGGGAGGAAGATAATCTAAATGAAAGATGAGGGAGAGTCACTGGAAGGTTTTTATGAGTATAAACGACTGAAAAAGTTTTCTTTCAATTATTCTAACACTTGTTGAATGCTTACTATGTTCTGCCTAGCTCAAGATCACAAAAATAAGAAAACATGCTTTCCAACTATAATGGCAGGACATATGGCAAGGTGCCCAGGTAAGCCCCAATTTCTTGGTGGATGCCTGGATTCACCAAGACTCTACTCATGGCTGGAAAACCAATTAAGCACTGCAATGGTGCTAAGAAGGATCCACTGTATATTGCATGGAGAAAAGAGCAGGAGAAGAACTTGAGCCAAAGAAGAATGAATCTGTTAAGCACCCTGATGTAATGGTATTCTTGTTTAGGTAGAAATTGGACTAACTGGTTTCTGAGGACCCTTCTACCTCTTAGATTATTGGATCCTCATCATTTTCTTCAAATTATGGATGAGAAATTATGTCATATACAGCAAAAGTATCCTTTATCTCCCCCAATTATACTTATAAATAAATGTATTTAGGGGAGATAAAAGATAGTTTTGCAGTATCTGGCACTTATTATTCCTTTAAAAATGAACTATATCATTCATTTGATTTTAATAGGCCACTGGCAATGACTGCATAAATGATGATTATTATTGATCTTCATGTCTGAAGAAGGTAATGACCATCTGAAAGGTCTGAAATAATTCTTCTGGAGTTCTCACTGCACTGTAGATCCAAGCAAATGAGGGTGGCCAGAAACAGAGACATAGAAACCATTCTTCTCTGATATTAGGTATCCCTACGTGTCTCATTTTCTGGTGGTTGACTATTGCTGCTGTTCATAAGGCCTTGTCCTTTAAGCTTACTTGAAATGCTAACTAGAACTGAACCATCTTACATCAGAAAGGGGCTTGTTAGAGTGGTGAAATAGCCAACAATGATAAGAAACAGGGCAAGATATTAAAAACTACTTGATCTAAGCTTACCTGTATATGTGCGACTGTTTTCCCAAAAGCTTTTCTCTGCCTGACGTAATTCCTAGTTTCTTCAAACATGAATTCACATGAGGAAATGGCAACATCAGAAATCACTAACCTTTCCTGTAAACAAAAGAGAGGGACTCTGAAAATAATTCTGATTACTTGTGAAAATTTTTAATTTTAGCAAACCCCCAAAATAATCTTTACAAATATAATATCTAAATCCCAGAATGCTCTAATTTTTTTTTAAGCATTTGTGAGGAAAAAAAGACCTTAAAGGAAAAACTCTATATCATATCAACAATATTTATTACATACCTACAGTGCTAGGGACTGATGATACAAAAGCAAGTACCTTCGATGCATTTGGATGAGATTCCTTGCCCTAGCCTCCAATTCAGAGATTGCACTTGGATTCACTGTAACTATTAATGGATGAAAAATAATCAAACCTGTATTGCACTTGACTACTAAACATTTATTTGTTAGTTGTTTTTCAGTCGTGTCTAACTCTTCATGACCCCATTTGGGGTTTTCTTGTCAAAGATAATGGAATGGCTTGCCATTTTTTTTGTCTCCAGTTGATTTTACGGATGCGGAAATTGAGGCAAATTGTGACTGTCACTATAGCAGCTTTTTACGGTTGGGGTTTTTTTTTTTTTGTTTGCTCATTCTTTCAGTCAATTTCTTGACTTTTGACATATGCATATATTTTAAGGCAATTGGGGTTAAGTGACTTGCCCAAGGTCACACAGCTAGTAAGTGTCAAGTGTTTGGTCTGAGGTCACATTTGAACTCAGGTCTTCTGACTTCCGGGCTGGTGCTCTATCCACTGCGCCACCTAGCTGCCCCCAACATTTATATTAATAAGCTCTTTAAGCCAGCAGTTCAGTCGCTCTGAACCTGCAGAACCTTCCACAGGGCTAACAGTGGCTGAGTCCAGCAACGTTCTGGATCACGGTACTTTGGAAGCACTGAAAATCTGTAGGCTTCCAGACCAAGCTGTGAAAGCACCAGAAGTTCAGACCAGACATCCCCCCCCCCCCCGCCCCCACCACCTCCAGGTGGAGATGGTAGATCCAGGTAGAGAGAGGTCTGCTCACTTAACCCCTGGTCTGAGCTCTGCCAAGTTCCTGACCTGGCTTGGGTCGGTGGGCTTGTGTGCAGCTGAACTTCAGTGGAATGCTGCTGGCCTCAGTCACTGTTAGCCCTGTGGAAGGTTCTGTAGGTTCAGAGCCACTAGACTGCTGGCTCCTCTCTGGTCTTGGTCTTCTGCCCTGGTTTTTCCACTGCATCATTATGTTGTGCTATATTATATACACATTCTGTAACATTACATATTACAATACACAAAACATGCCATTTGTTCTGTGCTTATCACCCAGCTAGGTCCCTGTGTTTGGTCACGGCTGCTCCTCTCTGTGCTGGTCTCTGATGCAGAACTGGTTAATGGGTGACAAAGTTGCCAGATGGTACCTGTTCCTGTGCTGAGTGGTAGTTCAGAGGTGTCTATGTCCTCTTTCTGGCCCTGTACTTCCTGCCTTGGCGTTTTATCTTGGTTGTCTTTCCATCACTGGGTACTAGAATGTGCCCATGCTGCCACTACTACTACTCTGTGAACTGTTTACTGTTCCTTAGCTTTCCCAATCGGAATTCATTCCAGTACTTTTTCTAGATTGTTACGGAGTAGGTATGTTTAGAGGCAAAAATGTTGATGCTCATACCACCGTCTTGACTCTATCTTCCCACACATTTGACATTCCAATCCTAGTTGCCCAAATATTCCGTAAAACATCCTTCTGACTTAAAACATGAATTTCTGGGTGTCAAAAACAATAAAAACAAATAGAAACACACCTCTAGTATCCACCAAGGCTCCAATTAATCTTGTTCTACTTCACATTAATATTATACAGAGGTAGGAACACGTACCTGTATATGATACAGGTATGAATTCAAGTTGACCTTACCTGTGGGAGTTCTGCCATGAGGTAATAGAAACCTTTATTTTCTTCTCCAAGTAGGGCACTTGCTGGCAACCGTACATCTTCAAAAAACAGTTCGGCTGTATCCTTTTTAAAAAGGACATGAGGCAAGAAAAAAAATTATATTTTATGGCCATAGTCTTTTTAAATACAAGGAGATAGTATCTTTCTACGTACTTATATGTGAAAAGGACAAGAAATCTTGAAATATACTAAGATTTTAACTTGGTTAATGAAAACATGATGTGTGGGGAAAAAAATCATTCGGCTAGGAGTGATGGAGGTAGAGACTATACATGACACATGAGAGGTGTTGCAGGTTAGTAATAACAATTAATAAAAATAACAATAATAATAGTATTTATATGGTACCTATTATGGGCCAGGTATTGTGCTAAATTTTACAAAACTTATCTCATTTGATCTTCACAACAATGCTGGGAGGTAGGTGCTATTAATAATCTCATTTTCTTTTCTTTTTTTTCTTTTATTCTATTCTCTCTTTTGACCTTGTCCCTCCTCAGAAGTGTTGCTTCTGATTACCCCCTTCCCCAATTTGCCCTCCCTTCTATCATTCTCACTCTCTTATCCCTTTCCCCCTATTTTCCTGTAGGGTAAGACAGATTTTCATACCCAATTGAGTGTGTATGTTATTCCCTCCTTAAGCCAAATCCAACGAGAATAAGATTCGCTCATTCCCTCTCATCTTCCCCCACTTCCCCTCCACTATAAAAGCTTTGTCTTGTCTGTTTCATGTGAGATAATTTACCCTCATTCTACTTCTCCTTTTCTCCTTCTCACGGTATAATACTCTCTCAACCCTTAATTTTATTTTTTAGATATCACCCTTTCATCTTCTACTCACCCTGTGCCCTCTATCTATTTATCTGTCTATACATATTTTTCCCTCCAACTACCTTAATACTGACAAAGGTCTCGTGAGTTACAAATATCATCTTTCCATATAGGAATGTAAACAGTTCAACTTAATATGTCCCTTAAGAGTTTTCTTTCCTTTTCATACTTCTCTTGAGTCTTGTATTGGAAAGTCAAATTTTCTATTCAGCTCCGATCTTCTCATCAAGAATGCTTCAAAGTCCCCTACTTCACTGAATGACCATTTTTTCCCCCTGAAGGATTATACTCAGTTTTGCTGGGTAGGTGATTCTTGGTTGTAATCCTATCTCCTTTACCCTCTGGAATATTATATTCCATGCCCTGTGGTCCCTTAATGTAGAAGCTGCTAAATCTTGTGTTATCCTGACTGTGTTTCCATAATACTTGAACTGTTTCTTTCTGGCTGCTTGCAATATTTTCTCCTTGACCTGGGAACTCTGAAATTTGGCTACAACATTCCTAGGAGTTTTCCTTTGGGGATAACCTTCAGGAGGTGATTAGTGGATTCTTTCCATTTCTATTTTACCCTCTGGTTCTAAAATATCAGGTCAGTTTTCCTTGATAATTTCTTGAAAGATGATGTCTAGGCTTTTTTTTGGATCACGGTTTTCAGATAGTCCAATAATTTTTAAGTTTTCTCTCCTGGATCTATTTTCCAGGTCAGTTGTTTTTTCCAATGAGATATTTTATATTGTCTTCTATTTTTTCATTCTTTTGGTTTTGCTTTGTAATGTCTTGATTTCTCATAAAGTCACTAGCTTCCAATTTCTTCATTCTAATTTTTAAGGAAGTATTTTCTTCAGTGAGCTTTTGGACTTCCTTTTCCATTTGTCCAATTTTGCTTTTTAGGGCATTCTTCTCCTCAATGGCTTTTTGAACCTCTTTTGCCATTTGGCTTAAGAAGCTAACTTGCTTCTCAAAATTCTTTTTGAGTTGTTCCATAGCCTGGGACCAATTCATATTTTTCTTGGAGGCTTTGAATTAGGAGTTTTGACTTTGTTGTCTTCTTCTGGTTGTATGTTTTGATCTTCTTTGTCACCAAAGTAAGATTCTATCCTCTGACTTTTTATGTGCTGTTTGCTCAAGACCTCAGCCAATTATTTGACTTTTAAACTCTTTGTTAAGGTAGGGGTCTGCTTCCAGTGTGGAGAATGTACTGTCCCCCAAGCTTTGGGGGTTTTGTGGCGCTGTTTTCAGAGCTATTTCTAGGGACCTGTAAATTTTCAGTTCTTCCAAAGTGCTATGATCAAAGGCGAGGTGCCTTTCCTGGCCTGTGCTCTGGTCTATGATTGACCACAAGCACTCTTTTCAGCCTTGGAACTGTGAGGAGAATTCCCTCTCCACAAGCACCACAAGCTCCACCACACCAGCTCTCCTCCTTGCCCTGGGACTGCCACCTAGAACTACAACGTGGATCCAAGCATGGACAAAGCAAGAGAATCCTGCCTCAGCGCCTCCAAAGAGATCTCTCAATTCCCCTCTGATCAGTCACTAGATACTCCCTCACCTGTGGGCCTAGAGCTCTGGCTGGGACTGGTCCTAGGACAGAGCTCCTCTCTCACTGAGGTCAGACACACCTTTTCTACTGACTTTCTAAGTTGTCTTTGGTTGAGAAGTCTGGAAACTGCCACAGCTCCCCTTGATTCAATCCCCTGAGGCCTGTTCCAAGTTCACCGAGGCCCAGTTTTTCCCTGTGTGGCCCATGCTGAACTGTGGTCCTCTCCCAGTCGGGTGCAACACTTTTCCTGCCGACCTTCCAGGTTGTCTTAGGCTGGAAATTTATTTCACTCAGTCTTTTTGTGGGTTATGCTGCTCTAGAATTTGTTTAGAGCCATTTTTTACAGGTATTTGGAGGGGTTTGGGGGAGAGCTCAAGCAAGTCACTGCTTTTATTCCACCATCTTGGCTCCGCCCCCTCATTTTAAAGATGAATGCTTGTGACTTTTCTAAGGTCACACAGTAAGTGTCTGAGGCTAGATTTGAACTCAGGTGTTTCTGACTCTCCAGCACTCTGCCTACTGTCTCACCTAGAATGTTCAATATTAAACAAACATTGTTATAACCAACTACTGCATGCCCTATGGCTTACC